GGGGAAGCGGGGCTGGGGTCTTGGGGATGGAGCAGAGCGGTGTCGGGGACCGCGGCGCGTCGGGAAAGCCGGGAAGGAGCGCCGAGCCTCCTTAGGGGAAGAGGGGAGCCGGTGTCGTCGGGGAACCGGAGCCCAGGTGCCGGGGCTGCTCCGGGCTGAAAAGCTGGGGCCAGGCTGTGGGAGCCAGAGTACGGAGATGTTTGGGAGCAGTCCCTGGCTGTCCCGAGGAGGGGCTGGGGCCGGGCAGGGCGAGTCCCCTGCTCAGCACAGCGTCCCTGTAGCCCTGTGGGGCAGAGGACTGGCAGGTCCCCCTTTCCATGCGGCGCAGCCGGTGCCTGTGGGCATGGGGTCCTGATGCCAAGACCCTGTAGCTGGAGGGCTCCTGGATCCAGCACTGTTCTACCCGTGTGGGCTGCAAGGGAAACACTTGGACAATAGTGGAGAGCCCCTGCCCTGCTCTGCGCATGCTGGCAGCCTGGCTGGGGCTGGAGGACTGTGAGCTGACCTGCCGGCAGCCCCTTCCCGCAGGTGCCAAGCCAGCCAGAGCCTGGATGCTGCTGGATTTAGGGCTGGGAAGGCTAGTAAGGGTCGGCTGTCTGTAGCCACAAGCCAGAGGTTGCAGCCCTCAGTTCAGTTGCATCTGAACTTTGGCTGTTGGAGCCATTGGCCGCCGTCATCGCTGCACTCCTGGAGCAGGTATTGGCACAGCGGGTTACTACTGCCCTCCATCTTGGAGAGGGCTCTGGAAAACGCCTGGCCTTGGAAGCGTTTTGCTGCAGTCCTCCGCCCCTGGCCCTCAGGACTGGGGAGGTGCTCAGTCCCCTCCCCTCGCTGTCCTCCGTGCGCTCGCGCCGCCGCAACATGGCGCCCGGCTTGCCTCAGCAGCCAGCGGGGCCCTGTGGGCCTGTGCGCCGGCTGACCTGGGGCTGTCGTGTCCCCTGGGCCGCGGCCCCGGCGAGGGGGACCCGAGTAATGGGCTGGAATAGATTGGCAGGTGGTGGTTGTAGCAGTTCTGTCCTCAGTGTGGAGCAGGGCACGGCTGATGGGATGATGCAATGGGATGTGGATGCCGCTGGAGGGATGTCCCGGCGTCACTGGGTGGCACTGGCTTGGGTGGGCTGAGTGCCAGAGCACCTGGGGCCTTGTGCTGCTCCTGGTGGAGGGAGCTTTGCTACCTGGGGGTTTTGCAGGCTGTGCATGCGCATGGAGAAGGCTCCATGTGGCTCCTTGATCCAGTTGTTTACTGGCCTGCAAAGCTCCCTGAGGTTGATGCCACTTGGTGCAGCCCATCCCAGTGGTGTTGCTCCAGCTGGGCTGGTGCCTCAGAGGTGGTGGTTGGGTGAGGCCCCAGTGCTGGGGCAGAGCCGGTCTGTTCCCCACTGCCTGGTGGTTGTTTAGCAAAGCTGGGACATTTCAGGAGCCTAGAAATCGTCACCCTCTGGAGAGGCTGGTCCTCTCACGAGTGGAGCTTGATGGCTAGAAAACTGAGTTAAGGATGGGATCCCTGGGGAGTGGGCAGGGGTTGGACAAAAGGGGCTTCTGCTCTCCACTGTGCAGCGTCAGGGAGGAGCATGGGCTGTCCACCCTGCAGGATGGTTTGTGGCCTTGCTGGGCCTGTCTGTCACCCTGTACCCAGGGCTTGGTTAGGCTGGGACTGCTGGGGGGGATAATGTCCCAGTCCCTGGTGGGATTGCTGTTGGAAAGTCCTTTCCCCACCAGAATCCAACAGAAATAATGCTGTGGGTGCTGAGCACAGTTTGGGCTCCATGGCCTCCTCTGAATGCTGCTTTTTCCAGTACCTCCTGGCTGACCAGGAGCTGCAGAGGCTGACGGAGGCATAAGGAGTGACCTTTGTGTTCAGGATCCCAGCATGGTCTGGGGTTCTAAATTCTTGCCCCAAGCTCCCCTTGATACAGAGTGACAAATACGCTCAGTGCAAAGAGGAATCCTTCAGTCCCGCCATATGCAAGGAGGGTGTGCTGGAATATTTTCCCACACTGCACGGATAACGCCGCCAGATCCTGGCGCTGCAGACACTCCTCCATCCCCCCCCACCATGTGCCTCCTTCACTGCCTCCCCGAGTGTCTGCAGAAGGGCCCTGGGTGCCCCAGATGCAGCGGGGCGAAGCTCCCAAATTCAGCCTTTCCCTTTATCTTATCTGGGAGCCCCTGGATCTCGCAGCCGCTTCCTGGCTGGTGACATGCGGAGGACAGGAATGCCTCTCGCTCCTCTCGAGGTCGTTAACGGGAATGTTAAACAAACAGGGCCTAATGTCAGTCCCTGCTGTTCCTCACCAGACACCTCCCCAAACGGGATCCCTCCCCGCTTGCTGCTATCTTCTGTTTAATTTTCTAGGCAGCCGCCAATCTGCATGGCCACATCTCTCCTGGCAGTCCCGAGGGGTGGTGTGGGACAGGCAGCTGCCTAGGTGCTGCACTCCCACCCCTGTGGCAGGCAGAGCTTTTTCTGGCAGCTGGAGGAGCTCCCATACTTCCCCTGGACGCTGTGTGCTGTAGCAATAAAACCCTGTGTGTTCACCCTGCTCTCTGGAGTGCCTGATGTAGACATGTTGGTTCCACTCTAGAAATTAGTCCTCGCTCTCCTGGGAAGTCACCGGGAAGGTGTAGGTCTGCCGGGAGTGGGAGGAACCTGGAGCTCGTTGTGTAGATGCCCAAACCATCAGGTGAAGTCTGTGGTGATCTTGTGTGTCCTCTTGGCTGGTCTGGAGGGCCTGTTTGCAGCTCCATGGGTGGTGGCTGCTGCTCTTGAGGCAGAGCTTGGGGGTCCTGGACTGCTGAAAGTGGTGTGTTAAATGTGAGGTTGTGCTGGGAGAGCCCAGGTGAGGACCTGGCTAAACTCTGCCGAAGAGGATCATCCTAGGAAGAAATAATTCCATGTGTTAGGGTGAAGCCCTGGCACAGGTTGCACAGAGCCACAGCTGTGACTGTCCCATCCATGGAAGTGTTCAAGGCCAGGTTGGACAGGGTTTGGAGCAACATGGGCTGGTAGAAGGTGTCGCTGCCCGTGCAGACATGGTCTTTAAGGTTCCTTTTAAACCAAATCGTTTTGTGATTCTGTGATCTTCCCAATTGGTCCATGGAGGGCTATGGGTTAGAAAACTGTGTTGTAGAGGCAGAAGGCTCTTGGCTTCCAGACAACCTCCTCAGTAGCAAGTCTTCCATCCCTTTTTCCTTAGCTGCTGCACTCCAGGGCTGCTGGAACTGCCTGGAAATGCTGCTGGTGAGCGGTCTGTGTTATGTGCTGAATGTCTGTAGCGCCTCATGGACTGGTGCCAGGCATCTCTTGACTTCTGTAATCTCTGCTTGAGTGGACCTAGATACCTCGTGCATGTGTGGATTCCATCTCTACAGCTGCAAACAAGTAAGATTAGTGTAAGTTCTGGAATCAGATGACTCCTCTGATGCTGTTCTTCACTATGAGGAACATGGAGGTGTAGTAGTTACGGTCCCCACTCGCTAATTCTCATCCCTCGGCCTGGCTGAAGCAGGATGGTGCCTCAGAGCTGTTTTCATGCATCCTAAAAGTCCCCCAAGTGTTGGCTGCAGCTTTCTGTCAGTGACAGATTGTTGGCTGAGCAGACAGCCTGGAGTCACCCTGCACACAGGGGTTCTGGGAACTGATGTGTTCCCAGACATCCTCTTGGTCTTGAGTTGAGCACTGGGTTGCTCTGACAAGGAGGAGCGATGTGGGAATCCCCCCATTATCTCCTCATGTCCTGGTGCCTGTGAATACACTCTGAAGGAGCTTCCTTCTCCTTTCTCACTCTTTCAAATCTAAGTTTCTTAGATACATCCCAACTCAACTAGTCTCTGTGATGGGGTAACTTCTTTCTCCTGCTACCTGGGCTATTAAATGAGACCCAGCTTCAGAAATGAGTCTTCCTCCTTCGCTAATCAGAGGAGCTGCTGAGCAGGACCTTCCCTTCTTAGCCTCAGAATTAATGGGTTTTTGGTGGTGCCTGTGGAAGTTAGGGAGGGCCAAACTCAATGGTTCCCTTACTAGGTCTCTGCTTTGCCCTCACCAAAGTCAAAGGATGCCCTTTGATATGTCTGGGAGGTAGCTGAGAGCAGTTCAGGCTTTGCTGTCCTTCCTCATAGCTCTGCTTGAGGATCTGGCACTGTGAGAATTCAAAGGGTGACTCTTGCTGGAGCTAATGTGGAAGGTTGTGGAGTGAAAGATCCTTTGAGTTTGCTGGTCTTGGCTGTGCCAGATCCTGGAGACTTTGCTGCTTGGATGACAGTGCAATGAGCAGTGCTGCTGCCTGTTCTGGAGCTCTGTCTGCAATAAATGCTTCAGCTTGAAGCTCCACTGTGGCATGGCTGTGGAAGTGAGGTGGTTTGACCTCACTACAATACTCAGTATCTTCCTTCAGCATGTGGGATAGTGGAAACCGAGTTCCTGCTGTGTGCCTGGCCCTGTGAAGGGATCTGATGAGGGGCAGGGCAGTGGGGGGCAGCTCTGGCACTGGAGCTGCTGAGCCTGGCCCACACTGAGGTGTGATCCTGAGCCAGCCCAGCACTTCTGATGAGGAGGGAGTAGTGGCACCAGGGGACCCTGCCCTTGACCCAGCAGAAGTGGGTGCCACGGGCTTGGCAAGGATTCTCTGGCCACTGTCCTGTAGGATCATGGTGTGCTGAGGACCCAGTGGGTGGTCTTACCCTTGTGGAGGTTCCCCAGCTGTGCTGCACAGCCCAGGAAAAGCTGTGGAAATGTTTGTCCTCCCGGTCTGGGATGATGCCTTCCCTCCTGTGCTGCAGTGGTGACAGGTTCTTGCACTGCTGTGGGGTCAGCCTTGGTGTGTGTCTGTGGGTCAGGAGCTGTTGGCCTGGGGATATGTGTCCTTCCCATCTACTTCCAAGGACAGGGGGCCTCTGTCTCTCTCAATGTGTAACAGCCCTGGCTTACCTGTAGCAATGGCCCGAAGAGCAGCATGAGCCATGGATTGGGAAAGAGCGGCCACAGGGCACGTTGTGGGCTCGGGTTGGCACTTCTGGTCCGTATTTTTGTAGCACAGCCCTTCCCTGCTGTCTAGTGGTGCTGTCTTGCTAAGATTTGGACTGATGCAGTGTTGGCTTAGTCCTGTGAGTGGTTGTCATCCTCCCAGGGTCCCCAAAGGTTGTTTGGGCTGTGTTGGGGGTGACACTGCAGTAACTGCTGTGGGCTTCCAGCTCTCCATCCCCTGGGTTTTATGGAGCACTTGCTTGTTGGGCTGTGGAGGTGCCTGACATGCTGCATGAGGCTGAGGCATGGCCATTGGTGTGCTGCCCCAAACTGGGGTGATTTGATGAGAGATTCCTCTGTCTCTGGATGTGTCCTGGGAGGCACAGCACTGTGAAGTGCCCAGGAATCATTGTGTGGTGGGGTGAAGCACATACAGGAGTACTCACTGGGAAAGATCAGAAGTGAGAACATTTCTGGTGAGGATCCTGCTTCCAGACCCTTGTCTCCTGCCAGTCTCTGCCCTGGGGAGGAACTTGTTTCACCACTGTCTCCTGCCAGGAGAAAAGGTGCCTGGCTGTGGGCTGGAAAAGTTTGTCCATAGCAGGTAAAGTTTGTGGCTCCAGCTCATGGGGACAGGTGTCTGCAGGTCCCCAACACCAGAGAGTGGCAGGTGAGGGTGTCTGGAGCCCAGGGCTTAGCGTGGTGGCTGGGTAGGGCCAGTGGGGATGTGAGTGTCGTTCAGCATGTTGGCTGTGGCACTTGTGCCTGTCCCCTCTGGCTCAGTGGACCTCTTGGCAAGGTGAAAGGCAACCTGAGGGTGCTCAGCCAGCCCCCAGGGGAGTTGCCCTGTCAGACAGTAATCTCTTGGGAATTATGGGGCAGACCTTTCCAGATGTTTCATCAGCTCTGAGCCTCTGTTGTGGTCCAAACCTATCTGGGTGCTGTCCTTTTACGAATTTGTGAGATGCTGCAGACGCAGGTGATGGCACTTGATAGCAGGAGGAAGCATCCATGGCAAAGCCACACCAGCAGTGCTTCCTCTGCCAGGGCCAAGGTCTATTCTTGGGTGCCTGGTCTAATCGGCTTCCATGTGCTTCCTGCTCTCCCGCAGTGGGGCTGGTGCTTCCCCCTGGTCGGAGTGTCTTCCTCCCCTGACCGCAGGGGTGGCTGAGCCCCGCTGACATCCCCTGCCCGGGTCCCTGCCAGCAGAACCCGGCTCTTGCCACCTCCCTCCCGGTTGCTAGAGGGGAAACCGAGGCATGGAGTAGTGAAGAAGCCAGCTGCAAGCCCCTTCTCTCAGGATTCTTGTGGTGTGGAGGCTGCCCTCGTACAGAGCACACATCTCTCTCCCCGTTTTCTCCCCCCTTGTGCTTGCTGGGACTCGGTGCTGAGGACCAGAGCAGCCCTGGCTTGCAGTGGCAGAGCTCTGCAGCCCCAGGGCCTGTGTGGGAGCCCGAGAGGAGGATCCGGTCCTATTTTGCATCCCTGCCGCTGGAGTCCGTGTGCTCCCCTCTCCTGCCGTGCAGCTCGCCGCCCCGTTCCTCTCCCGTGCCTTGGAAATGCCGGGGCAGCCTCGCTGCATCCAGCGCTCCCACGTCGGGTGGCCCTGGCCGCATGGCAGGGGACAGCCCCGGCGCTCTGTGTCCCCCTCCGGCCTCCTTGGTGGCCCCGGAGATGGTCTCCAGTGGAAAAGCTGTGCTCCACATCCCTGAGAGTGCCCTTGGGGTGCTGTGGCACAGCTCGTCTCTGTCCCCTGCGGGATGGCATAGGGCTGCTGGCACAGGGGGAAGGCTGGCTGGACGTATGGGTGTGAACTGGTGGGAAATGGCTCTTTTCTAGGAAAAACCGACGTGCGACCGGGGTGGCTTCCTGGAGAGGGGGAATGTCCGACGGCACAGTGTGGGGGAGGCATTAGAGCACATTGCTGCCGTTCCTGTCCTCAGGTGTCTCTGAGCCACCGCTGGGAAAGCCTTGTGTTCTGTAGCTGCTGGATGCAGGACCAGGCCAGCTCTGGGGGGCTGGAGCAGCCCAAGCTGTGCTGTGGGTGATGTGGTTAAAATCTCTCCAAAGGGAGGACTGGCCCTGCAGGCTCCAGGAGGGGATTCAGAGCAATCCTCTGACAGAAAATCCCCGAGCACTGCAGCCTCGAGGGGTGGGTACCAGTGCCCTTGCAGCAGACACTTCTGACATAACTTGACCCTTTTTGGGCTGCAGGGCTGCTCAGAACTCCCTTTTGAGAGCTCTTACTCCAAAGTAGCCGTGGCCAGGAGCTGTGGGAGCTGTGCTGGTCTCCTGGCAGTGCTGGGGCTGTGCTAGCACAAAGCAAGTGCTGCTGCCTGGCTCTCCTGCAGCCTTGGTGTGAAGCTCCTGGCTGTGCTGGCCCAAGATGTGTCTCTTTGGGGAGATGTAGCTGTGTAAGGACTGGCACTGAGAACTTGAGGGCTAAATGGTTTGTCCGTGTTCCTCCCTCCCCCTGCATGAGAAGCTGTGCTGGGGATCCTCCCTCTCTAAGAGATGGCCTAGATGGTCTTGTCCCTCCTGGCATGAATCCTGTTTTCCATGGCTCTCCTCCATCTCTGTCAGGTGTTTGGACTGGGGACATCCTAGAGGGGAGGGATGGGGAAGGAAGAGTGTTTTCTGCAGGGCCTGCAGCAGTGTGACTCTGCTGGGCTATCTGTAGGTGAGAGCTGCTCCCTGCCCTGCTTTCCCCCATCCCCATGTGTCCAGTTCAGCTCAGTCCTGGCTGGGATGTGACTGCTCTCACCTGGCATCTCTCTTTGAGTGGCTGGCAGCAGGGCCTAAGAATGAGCAGAAGAACATGGTATTCCTGGAGATCTGCTCCTGCTGGATGTCTGGACATGTAGTTTGGCCCAGGCAACTCCTGATGCAGCTCTGGATGGATATTTTTGATGGCGTTTTTGTTTGTTTTGTTTTGTTGGTTTTTGTCTTGTGACTTTTCCAGATGCACTGTGGGGAGGCTGGGTTTGGTGTTTGGTGGCAGGGACTTGAAGCAGGACATATTTTAGCAGAAGCTAGCCTGTCATGGCATATTGAGTTTAAGGGCTGGATGCCTGGATTTGTCAGCCCTGGGTGGTACTACTGGGCTGTCAAAGCCTGCAGGGCTTGGGCTGACTGGAGGGTTCTGCTGGGGTTAATCCACTGCAAGTTGCTTGTCCAGACCCTGTTGCCCTCATCTACAGTTTCCTCTCTTTGGGAGCGGGAGAAGAGGCTGGACCAGGTTGCCCCCAGTGCACAAGAGGCTCAGACTGGTGAGCTGCCTCCTGCTTTTCTCCTGTGGGGTAACCTGAATCTCCTTTGCTTCATGCCTGATGTTGGAAGTGAGCTCCCTTCTGGCTTAACTCACTCTGTCCCTTGAAAATATTGCTCAGGTCTTTCACCAGCCTCAGCCTCCCTTCAGAGAATAACTTGGTCTCCCTCTTTCCTTACCCTTCTCTAGATCACTTATGGATGTGTTGAATTGCAGAGATCTTAATGTAAAAGCAGCTGCTTGGTCTTGTTGCTTCCAGCAAGCTCTTCTGAGCAGGGACTTCCTTCGTTTGTCTTGAGAGCCTCTTTGGAGAAGCTGGCTGGTGGCATTTGGAATTGCCCAGGCGTTGGAGCAATGGTAGCCCTTGATGGGTGCTGTGGTTTGGCTTTCCCATGCCTTCTCAGTGCTGTGGATGATGACAAGCAGGACTTGGAGGCCAAGGGCAACTTCTGGCCAGCGAGAGAAGATTTCTTGCTCCTGTCCTTCGCGGCAACTGATGGGGCTGGCACTGGGAGCCTGTTACCTCTGACAAAAAGCTTTTCTGGGTGCCTGCCTTGCTCTGTTCATGCTGATGGGAGGGCTCCAGCTCTGGCTTCCCCCTCCCTGAGCCACCACACATCTTCCATCCTGTCACGCCTGTCGCAAGGACTTACTAAGTGATGCATCACGGGGCCATTTAGAGACCCAACAGGGATGCAGATTTCTGTCTGCTTGGAAGAAAAATCCATTCTGGGGGCTGAGCACACTTGGATCCTGAAATATTGAAAAGGGACAGTGCTTTCACATGGCTGAGGCACATGTGTGCCACGACACTTTGCAGTCCTTCCCTGCAAGAGATGGCTGTGGGTCTTCTGGGAGTGCACTGCAGGCGCTCTGTCGAGCTCATGCTGAAGTGCAAGCGCAGAGGTCTTTGAGGCAGCCAGCAAGCTGACAAACAGTGGCACTGTCCCCTCTTCCCAGGCATGGGGTGGCCTTGGAGCATCAGATGTGGGGTGGTATGGTTGGGGAGCCTGTCAGCTTTCCGAGCCTGGGCTTGGAAAATGTTCCTGGAGTGCTCCACATGGCGTCCTGCTTCCCAAGGCAGGGCAAAGCAAGAGTGTGTGGTTGAAGGGTCGGGGGACAGGATGGGAAGGGTGCTCTAGTTCTGCTCCTGAGATGTGCTGGGCCAGAGAAGGGCTCCTTACACTAGTCTAGTGGGAGACAGTGGCAGTCCTTGGTCTCAGCATGCACAAGAGAGCAGGAGCACCCCAAGCCTTTCACAATCACTATCTATCCTGGGAGGCTTTACCCTGGGAAGGGCATTTGTCTGCCTTGGCAGGACTGTCCTGGGCGCAGGAGCTCAAGGAGGTGAGTTTTCATCTGTAAGTAAGAGAAATTTCCCTGTGTGGAGGAGTCTCTAGCTGGCTGCCCCTAAAGAATTACAGAAGCAGGGACTCCTATGTTTGCAGGTCTGTCTCCTGCCCAGGAGCAGGGCAAGCGTATGCTGCTTACTTTGGTGGTGAAAGTGGTTTTGAATACAGCCCACTCTGTCTGGGGAAGGTGAAATGGCTGAGCAAAACAAAAAATGTGGGAGCAGAGCCTTTCTGCCCTGCAAATGTAATGGAGAGGTCACTCTGTGCTGGAAGCAGGCCAAGGGATGAGTTCTGCCTTGGAGCTCCTGCTCCTTGTTAATAGTAAGTGTCTTCATGACCTTGGTTGTGCATAACTTCCCTTTCCAGCTCTGTGCTGGTTTACAAGAGGTCCCTGCAGCTTCATCGTGCTGCTTCCTTTGGAAATAGTCTGCCAGCCAGTGTGCAGGGAGAACATGCTCATGGCTGTTGAGCAGAGTTGTCCCAGGCCACGAGCCTTCAGCACTTTCTCCTTCCTGGTTATTCGAGTGAACTATTATCTATTATTTTAATGGATTATCTATTGAAATCCTCCCCGGCACTGTATTTTTTGCTGTGACATACATGAGTGTGTTTGGACTTGGTCCATGAGTTGAACAGCCTGGGAAGAGCAGATGCCTACGGGGGTTTGGCCCAGCAGAGCTGCTCTTGGCTGGGCAGAACAGAATAACTGCTCTGAGAGTGGGTTTGGGAGCAACTTCTGAAGGGTCTGAGTGTGCTGGGGAGGAGCTGGGATGGACCCAAAAATCTTCCTTCAGTGATGTTCTGGGGCTGTTGCAGAAGTCAAAAGCTACGAGTGGGGCAGTGAGCAGGGCAATTCTCCAAACTGAGGACAGTCTTTGAATTGGTGATGGAATTAAAGTGCCAGGGCAGGTTGAGGAGAGGAGAGGAGATCTATTATGTGTTCTGTAGAAAGATCTGGAGAGAACTGGGATTTGTACTGGTCCCTTCTGGACCTTTGGGATGTGTCAAACTTAGTTTTTGTGGCAGTGTGTGGTCTTTTCCAGTTTAGCCATCAGGGTCCTGTCAGGCTGTGGGGTTGGTGTTTCATTCCTTGATCAACCAGGCCATGATGCCAGGGACTGAATTTTTGTAAAGGCCTCAATCCTTTGAGGTGGGCACCACAGGGCTAGGTGTGTTTTATCCTGGACAATGCTCCTCCAATGCAGGGAAGGGTTAGATGGACCTTTGATGCAAGGTGGACTGTTCTTACTGCACTTAATTGTCTGAGCTGTGCTCTGTGCTCCTTCTTTGGCACAGAACATCTCCTTTTGGTACAGCTGGCTGGCCTCTTCCCTAGGTACGGACGCTGTTTGTCAGTGGCCTTCCTGTGGATATCAAACCCAGAGAGCTCTACCTTCTCTTCCGACCATTCAAGGTAAGAAGGCCTTCACATCTGGATTTTGGAGGGACAGATGTTGTTTTGGGGATGGCCTGGCAGCAAAGGTCTGTCAGGGGAAGTAGGGATGAGAATGGAACCCGAAGCCAGCACGGGATCCCACGACTCGTGCTCAACTGGGAGCCTCCAGTTGGAGCCTGCCATTGGAATTGTGCTGTCTCTAAGCTTGACAAGACCTGCTTGGTCAGCCCTGCTGCTCAACTGGACCAGCCCTTCCTTGGGGACATGTCCTCATGCCCCAGACTCTCCATCCCTCTCTAATGACCACCTAGGCTGTCTCTGGGGAAGTCTGCACTCCTTGTAGCACAGGGAGGGTGCTCTGCTTTCTCTAGGCACTAGCCAGGGCAGGGGCTCATCTTCAGCTGGATGAAGAGCTAGGAAAGGGGAATTCCTTCCCGAAGGGCCAGGGTGGAATAGCTAAAATACTTGCTCTGCCCCCAGTCTTCTCTACTGGTGGAAAAGAAGTGTAATTGCCCCTGTTTCTGCCTTGGCCCCTGCCCTATGGAGGGCTTGGTGCTACAGGAACTCCTGGAGCTGTGGTATTGTGTCTTGCTTGTAGCGTGGCCTCTTCAGGAGCCTGACACTGACTTGCTTTCTTGTCTCCTGCAGGGTTATGAGGGGTCGCTGATCAAGCTGACTTCAAAGCAGGTACCTCCTTCCAGCCTGTGTATTTTTGGCTTTTGCTAGCAAACTGGATGTGCCAGGAGGGGAGAGGGGAAAAAAAATCCCATGTCACTGTGTGGGCCAGCACCAGTTACACAGCGGGGTACTACTGACCCAGCATGTTCTGAGTGTTCTCTATGTCTTCTCTTGCTGCCCTGGGTGAGACCAGAGGCTTCAGCCTCAAACCTTGTGCTGCCATCAGCTTTCCCCACTGCCGTGCTGCTTGAGGCAGGGGTACACACGCTGGGGGCTCGTCGGGGTCAGCAGTGTCCCCACACGTGAGAATGCCACAGGATTTGTGGTGGGAGCAGATGCAGACCAGGAATCTTGGGCCAGTGACCCAAGCCCCTATGCAGCTTAGGGTGGTCTCTTCTGCTGGTTGTCTGGGGCAGAGGGGGTAGCAGGGCAGCTTGAGGAGCTGGAATAATCCCCCAAACTGAAATCAGTGTTGTTTCTTTTAGCCAGTGGGCTTTGTGACCTTTGACAGCCGGGCTGGTGCTGAAGCAGCGAAGAACGCCTTGAATGTGAGTACCCAAAGTTCTGAGGGGCTGATGGGGCTGGGTCCATGCCTTGCTGGACCCAGAGCTGAGGGCAGAGAAAGGGCAGGGTCTACCAGCCGTGCCCTGGACTAGGGAAGTGCTCCTGCAGCATCCCACCAGGGAAGCAGGAGAGCTGTTCAAGGCTGACATCAGCCTTGGAAAATGGATGTAAGCTGTCTCCATGTAGTTTTGACCACTGGAAGACAGCTCTGAGGGCCTCTTAGGGTGTGGGGACCTGCTGTGACTCAATAAAATATCTTGAGACTTGTCAACACAGAAAGGCCATCCAAAATGATCCACATCCTGCAGGCCTGACCTGCAGATGGGATCTGATCAGCAGGACATGGCTCTGCTGTGCTGTAGAGCTTGCCTTGGGCTCCTAGTGCCTCTGCTCAGGCTGGCAGGCGTGCAGTGGCACCACAAGTGGGAGCTCCCACACAGATGGGGGTTGTTCCAACTCCAGTATGTCCAGCTGGACATAAAAATAAAAGCACATGGGAACCTGGGTGTTGCAGTGAGCTGACAAAAATCTGGGCATGTGACTGCAGTGTGGTGGCCTTGGGTCCTTAGCTGGGCTTTGCTCCATGAACAATCACAGCCTGTGCTTGGACTGGAGCTTCACCTCTGAGAAACTCCTGTGCTCTCTCCTGTGCCAGGGCATCCGCTTTGACCCTGAGAACCCCCAGACCTTGCGGTTAGAATTCGCTAAAGCCAACACAAAGATGGCCAAGAGCAAGCTGATGGCCACACCGAACCCCACCAATATCCACCCTGCACTGGGTGCACATTTCATTGCACGGGACCCCTGTGAGTATGCTGGGAGGGGCTTGGAGGGCATGGCTCCAACCTGAGGGGTGCCCAACTCTGTGAATGCTGCCACAGTGGAAAGGAACCCAGACCCACCTCTGCTCTGCCAGGGGCAGGGAGGCCAGCAGGATGTTGGAGCAACAGGAAAACAACAGGCCTCTGGCCAACACAGAACTGTTGAGATATGACAGTTGGATTTGGTAGCTCAAGTGGCACCAAAAATCTTTTAAAGCATGCCTAATTGTAAAGCATAAAGGATGAGTCCTGTGCCATCACCCTCAATGTAGCCTGGTGGGCTGAGTAGCCCCGCTGAGGCTTATGGGGTGACCTGTGATGTGGCTCTGAGCCCCCTGTCCTGCATCCTGTGGCACCACCCCTCTGCTGCTTGTGTGGACCAGTCTGTCCAAAGCCCAAGTGTGGGGCTGTAATGCAACACATCCCTGGCAAGGCTGGGAGGCCAGAGGAGCAGCTGTGCCCACAGATCTTGAACCTCATCAAGACGGCAGTGCAGAGCTTTAGCCTGGGGTGGAGGATGCGGGGTCTGTTCCCAGAGCAGGCTGTTGGGGCAGCCCCTGGGACGCTGTCCCCTTGTCTCCTTGCCCTGCCTAGATGACCTGACTGGAGCGGCTCTGATCCCAGCGTCCCCGGAGGCGTGGGCTCCCTACCCGCTGTACACCACGGAGCTGACCCCTGCCATCCCCCATGCTGCCTTCACCTACCCGGCAGCTGCTGCTGCAGCTGCTGCTCTTCACGCTCAGGTGAGTCCCTCCCCACCTCCTGTGGTTCCAGGGCTGGGCCCTCCCATCTCCCCTCCACGGCTCCCATTGCCAGGGCTCCACTTGGCTGCCTCCAGCCTGGCCTCCCTGCACCTTGGCTCCCGGGCAGAGCCCACTGCTGGGTGCTCACTTCTGGCCCTGTAGGTCCAGCCTGCTTTCCCCTGAGGGGTAGGCAGGTGGGAGGAAGTCAGGGCTCAGTTTCTGGCTGGTCCTGCTGCTCCCCATGGCCAGGGGAGCTGTGAGGAAACACTTCCAGCCAGCAGGTGACTATTTCAGCTATGAAATGTCATCCCAAGTCACAGCAAGAGCAACGGGCTGAGCTCCGTGCTGAACCGAGGGGCTCAGCTGGGACCCCGTGGGCCGAATGACTCAAACACTTTCAAATCTGGAGGAGGATGTCCTGCAAGAGATGAGTGACTAGAGCCTTGCCCAGAGTGAGGAGCTGTGATGGAACAGGGTGTTAGCTACCCTCTGTACAGGCTAGTGAGCAGAATCCCTCCGTGTATGAGCCTCTGGAAGTGCAGGTGGTGGTGAAACCAGCTGCCTGGTGACCCAAGGCTTGCTGGCTGACAGCTGAGGATGTCAGGATGCCTGTACTGCTCTGACACAGATGCTTTAATGTACAGAGACCACATTAACCTCAAAACCATGAACATGCAAAGGGAAAATCAAAACAGAGTAGCAGTGTCCTAATTCCGAGTTAAGGTGCTTGGTTTGAAGCACTTGTCCAGGAGAAGCTGGAACCCTTGTCCCTGCCCTGCTCAGTGTGACCAGCTAGCTGTGCTCTGCCTGCTTCTGTCTCTGCTCCCATAAGTGGTGCCATGGGAGACTGGGGCAGTGGGACCGAGCATTGGGGCTTAACCTCTGCTCTCTGCCCTGCCAGGCAGGGTGTTGACTCCTACTCTTCCCTGCCTAAATGGAGAGGAAAAGGAGCTGTGTCCTCTCACCTTGCTGTCCTGGCTGGTAGTGAGCTATGTGGGCCCTTGGGCATCCTGTTGCTTCCTGCAAGCTTTGTGATGGTAACTGCCCAGCTTTAAGCCAAGCTTGCTTCCCAAATGCCATGTGGAGTGGATGCTGGCTCCCATCCTCTGTCCTGCCCCTCTCACACCTGCAGACCTCTCCTGCTTCTGCCCTTCTACAGGTGAGCTGTTGTTGGGCTGAAGCTCCTAGGGGCTTGGGAGAAGTACATTGGGGTTCAGGGCAGGAAGAACCCTGGAATATTCTTTCAAGGACCTCCAGAGCCAGGCTCATTCTTCACTGTGAAGATTGTGCTTGCTGGTGTTTTCCAAAAGCTGGTAGTGGTGCCCACAACTGCAGGACTGTGCTGTGCTCCTCAGTGGCCCAGGAGAGAGGTGTCTTCCTGGCCCTTGTGTTTGTAGGATGGTGGTCAAGGCTGAATTGTCCCTGAAAGGGAGGGCCAGGAAAAATCAATGCCTCTGGCCTGTCTGAGGTGGTTGGGGGAGGTGAAACTTCTACTGCAGTTTCTTCCAGGATGGTCATTGGTGAGTGTAGAGGGACCCTGAGTGTGAGGGTTAGACACCAAAACTTTATGGTGCAAAGTTGGGGAGAAAACTCTGCTCTTGTAGAGGGGAGGGTATTAAGGAGGCCTCCATCTACATCTTTCCCTCTGGGATCTTAGTTCCTGCCTTCCAGCTGGTGAGCTGCTGGTTTCCAAAGAGGTTGTTTGGCCTCACCATAAGACCCTGAGGCGCTCCCTGTGTAGGCAGAGCTCCCTGCCCAGGGATGCCCATGGGTGGTGATGGCCACTAGGCTTTAGGGAGTTGGTGCAGCCACTCCAGGCTTTGGCTGGACCCAGCTCTTTTCCAAAGAGGCCGTTGGGCAGTCCCAGCTGCTCCTGGCTGTGCGGGGCCGGTGCTGACCCTGCAGGGCCATGTCCTGGCACAGGATATGTTACCAATAAAATTTAGTGGGGTTAAACATTACTTGTGCTGGCAGCTCTGGGCTGAGCCCTGTCCCTTGCAGAGCTGAGGGTGGAGGGCAAGAGGGAGATGACTTTTGCTCACAAACTGGGCTAAAAGCTGTGCCTTTAGTCCCCCTGTGCTGAACCCTCTGCCCTCACTGGGAGGGGCTGGCTCACTATGTGGTGGGCTTGTGGGTTATTCCACAGAGCACTCACACTTCCTCCTGGTGGAACTGTAGCAGCTCCACAGTGATCAGCCTTGAGGAGGATGTAGCTAAAGCAAGATCTTGTTGCAAGAGATTTAAACCTGAAGGGCTCATCTTCTTGTAGTGCTCAGTTCAGCAAGGGGGAGAGGAGGTGGCCTGAAGAGCTGCCCAGAGGGCTGGCAGGAGGGATGAGGGGCAGGAGGTGCTGAGAGGCTGGCCTGGCCTCGGGAGCCCTTGGTAAGCCACTCCCAGCCGACGGCTGCTGCTCCTGGCACGTCCATGCCTTGGTGATGCTCCAGGCAGGTACCAGGCTGCTGTAGCTGTGACTGTAGCCTGACCCTGCCCCACTGGGGACTCTGCTGACTTTAAGATTGTCCCATCTGCCTTCCCTCCCTCCCACCCTCTCTCAAATCCCTCCTTTGATGTCCCTAGTGAACTCCAGCCATGATGCCAGCGCAGGCTAGCCCTGAAGCTCAGAGCTGTCCCTGGAGATGGGACGCCCTAGTGATGCCTTATTGCAGCTAGTGGAGTGGCTGTACTACAGCTCCATTCCTAGAAGTGTTAAGCATGATGGCAGCCACGTCTGGAAAGACTGGTAAGGTAACCATCTCTCCTCCAAGGTGCACTGTGGGATTTGCAAGCTTCTGCCCATCTCTGTAGCCCGTATCTCCTTGGCAATCCAGTGCATGGGCCTCACGCTACCCACCCACCAGAGCCTGGGGAATGAGATGCCAGGCCTTCTTTCTAACCCACATCTCCAACTTGGCAGCACATGACATGGCGCACACAGCATGGCACCATCTTACATCAGCTCCTCCCAGCTGAGCCAGGCTCGGCCAGGCCCTGCCGGTGGGAGGGGAGCAGCCCGGTTGAGCTGGGGCAGAGACCACCCTGCCACTCGGCCTGAAAGAAACCTGGTTTCTCCCCAGCCTTGACCCTTCGAGGGCAACCAGAAATACACCTTGACCTCACTCTGGCACACGGTGGGGGAGGTGAGTGATGTGGTAGTGATAGCACACGACTAAATTTTAGTGGGCACCTTAGACAACAGCACTTGCCGGTCACTTTGTTCCAGAATCGCATACCGGGACAGACCCTGCCCTTAATTGTGGGTCTAATCTCACCTCTTTCCTCTCTAGTAATGGAAATGGAGCCAGTTCCTACCTGGAGCTTGGCTTCTCTCTTGCAGCCTGAAATCACAGGCAGGACACAGGTCGTGTGAGCCGTAATGGAGGGAATCGGCAGCCTTGGGAGAGAGGGGTGTGGTGTAGGAGACCGGGAGCTTTGGACGAGGGAAGGGACTGGGACTGGTTGGCAGGGGGATGGTTGATGTTTGACCGAAGGAAATGAGCCCTGGTGCATTCAGTTCTCCCTGCAGTGGTTCTGAGCAGACTTGCTCCTCTCTCTGTGGAAGTGATGATAAGAACCGACCAAAGATGGGGGCCCAGGTCTGCCCTTGCCTTTAGAAAACTGTGAGGTGCAGAGCTGGCCTTCTGAGAAGAGTTTGACACTGGCATGGAGACAGTGATACAGCTGGGCTTGCTCTGCTTGGTCCTGGTAGACAGGTGCATTCATTGCTGCTAGAATGGAGTTGGGCTGCATCGTGTCTCTGAGGTGGAACCGCTGGTTCTGGGATGCCTCCAAATCAGGCTGTGAGTGGGCAGCAGAGGATGCCAGGGCTACCCATGCTTCTAGAGCTCTTTTGCAGAGATGCTTCCAGCTGTGGATGTGTTTTTCTGTCCCTAATAACTTGTTGCCTGTTGGTGCTGTGGTGTAGGGCCTTGGCAGGATTATTTCTCTCTGGGTAAGCTCCATGCTTCCCAGGGATGTGAAGCCTCTTGTTCAAGACATTCATGGTTGTGGTCGCTTTCTAAACTTCAGTGGCTTGGTGGTGGCATAGCTGGCCAAGCAGCCCCAAGCCAGCAGTTCCCTCCTAGCCAGGGAGAAGCAGGCAGGATCCTACAAGCAGAGGATGATCCTGAGCAGCTGTCCTTGCTTAGTGGTGGGTGAAAGGGACTGATGTGCCATCAGGAGAGACTTGTGGCCAACAGTGCCTCTTCCTGGCTGCCTCAATCCAAAAGAAAGCAGCACAACTTGCTGTAAAAGGGGAAATGCTTGTTGGTTGCAGTCTGAGAGAGGGTGTGTCTCCCTGAGCCATAGGGGTAAAAGGCATTGGATTGATGGATGCATGCCCATTAAAATGTTCCTGAGCAAGAGGACGGATCAGTGCCTGTCTTGTCCCACACACTCCTCCCCCTGGTGTGGGATGATGAGCTGATCCCCCAGAGCTGCCTGGGGACATGCACACGCTCGATCCCGCTGCACCTGGTTTTCCTGGTGGTGGGCTGAGCCGCTCTGGCCCCGCGCCTCGGGGTGCCCCACACCTCGGGGTGCCCCACACCTCAGGGTGCCCCACAGCAGCACCCCAAGGGGCCATCGAGCAGTGCCTGCTGCTGGGGTGGGCACGTGTCCAGCACACACCAGTGGGTGACGTGGTGCCTGTCCTTGCCTGCCTGGGTCACATTCCCAGGGACTGCATTTCCAGAAGGAGCAGAGCGGCTCTTGGAGAGCTCACGGCCCGTGACCCGTGAGGTGCTGCCTGCGAGGTGCTTGCCAGGCTGAGGATCTCAGCAGCACCAGTGAAGATGCTGCTCTGCACTTGAGCAGCTTGGCAGCAAGATGCAGCTCTTGGACGTGTTAATTGGATCCTGCCAGCTCCTGGGAGCACAAGGAGTGCTTTGTCCCTGCCTGCACCAGGAGCCTTTCTGGTCCCTGAGGCCCATTCCAGCTGTAGAGATAGATCACAACTCCAAGAGCTGCTGGGGCTGGCTGCAGACCTTGAGGTAACTAAGGAGGAAAGGCAGGTCCTCCCAGCCAAAGGTGGTCTGAGGAGGGACCTGTGTACTTGGCCCTCACTTCCCCTCTTTTCTTCTGAAGGACTTGCTCTCCATGACGATGGTGGACAGTGGGACACTTAAATTCTGAGGGCAATTGAGAGACAAAGGAGGTTTTGACAAGGAGAGCGAAGCACTGATGGGCTGTCTCTCTGCCCCATTCATAATTTCATTGTGATTTTTTTAGGCAGCTGCTGGTGTTGTGCTGCAGAAAGGGACAGGTTCCTGGCCTTCGGGAGGTGGCAGGCAGAGCCACCCATTTCTCCTCTCCAACTGTTTGCTGGGACAGATGTTGAAGGCATCAGCATGAAGCTGCTGCAGTTGTCCAGCAGTGGCTGCCTCATCCCTGCGAGCAGGAGATGTTTTGGTGGTGTGACCAGGCTCCTTTCCAACTGTGAGCTAATGCCTCTCCAGAAACAACCGTGTCTCTTCCAGTAAAAGCCTCTCTTGCTTTGCTTTCCTCACCCAGTACTGAACATCTCCATTAGTTCTCAGCTTCCTCCTTGATGGTTGTAGTATTTTGAGGGGTGTGAAGAGAAAACTGCCTTGGCAGGTGGCTGGAGAGTGTTCTCTTGGCTATCTGCTGCCTCTGATCCACTGCCCCCAGTGCTTTCTGCTGGCTTCAGGAGCATCCCCCCTGCTGATCTCCTGCCTCATCCCATCTTCATCTTTCCTGTAGGCTCAAAGACCTGGCAGGTCATTCCCTCAGCCTGCCAGCATGTCAGAGCCTCAGGTTGTACCCAGGATTGTCACAGCTGTAGCAGCTCCTGTGGGACTCCAGGAGCCCCTCTCAATGCAGGGCTGGGCTAGTGGTCTGTGGGGCCACGGTGGGTCAGGCTGGGGGGTTTGGTGTGTGAGCAGTGTAGACCTGCAGGAGGAAGGCAAGGAGGGGTGGTCATTGCAGTGATGGTTTATTAGCACCAGAGCTATGAACAGTAAATGTTCTAAGAGAAAACCAGGACTTCAGTTGGAAATGGAGGTGCTGAGGCTCTGCAGGTGGGCCAGGAGGTGGCTCTGAGGATCGATGGCCACCAGGCTGGGCCTGGCCCTGTATAGCCTGGCTGTGCTGCTTGGCCGAGCCTGCGTGGGGTGGAGGCGGCTCTCAAGGCACTTTCAGCCTTGTGAATGCAGGGGGAGTTTCCTGTTACTGCTGGGCAGAAGGAAACTGCTTCCAGCTGTCGAGGGGAGGGGTGTGGAGTGGGAGATGCTGGCTGGGGAGGACAGCTGCAGAGGAGATGTGGCTCTGCTGAGCAAGCAGCTCCTGGTGATAGGGCTTGGGGGGAGCAAGAAACCCCTGTCCTTGCTCTGGCAGCTGCTGTGGTGGCCCTGTAAGCTGTCAGTGATGCTGCTGCCCATTCCAAGCCTTCCTGGGTGGTGTCTGTGCACAGTGTGGTAGCCCTGACTGGGCAGCAGAGGAGAAGTGAAAACACACTCTGTGTGGCACTTTGGTCCTGGCACTAGATGGGATCCCTCAAGGGAAGGAGGGTCTTGTTAAGGTCCACACCCTTGCTTGCCATGGTTGGACTGACTGGGATGCTGTGCCATGAAGTGAGGTATGGGGCCAGCTGGGAGCTGATTTAGTGGCACCCATTTGTCTTGTGAAGGTGTCTGGCAAGGGTCCAGCACATGATGGAGCCATGGTATCGTTTGAGTTGGAAGGGATCTTAGACCAGTCTCATTCCACCCCCATGCCATGTGCAGGGACATCTTCCTCTAGACCAAGTTGTTCCAATTCTTGTCCAAACTTGTTCTGAGCTGATGAGAGGCTCCTGTGAGGACAGAGCTCCTGCTGAGTGGCAAGGCTCATTTAGGAGCCCTCTCCTGGAGGGGGACTCAAGGCCACAGCTCATGTCGCTGCAGTTCCTGACATTGCAGCCCTCATGCCTGTGGGGGAAGAACGTGGCCACTGCAGGCAGCAGTGCCAAGGTTGTGGCCATTTGCTGCATGTCTCTGCACATCCTTGGGAGAGGAGCATCTAGCCAGGCTTGTTTGGGTCAGGGGATAGGAGTGCCAGGATGAACGTGACAAGGGGAATGGCTTGCGTGGGGCTCCAGGGGGTTTTCTGCCACTTTTCTCCCCATCTTAGGGCCAAGTCCATCATCATGCTGGTTCCCAGAGCCCTGAACGTGCTGAGGCTGTGCTTCTCTCCTGGCAGCTGGAGAGGGAGGAGCAAGGGGTGCTGCTCCAGCAGCAGAACCAAGCTCCAGTTGCTGCTGCAGCTGCTGGATCCATGCTCAGTCAGGTGGCACAGGCTTGTCTCGTGCTGCTCTCGGGCGCTGCTGGTGCAGCTCAGCTGGACACACTGGCCATGCTGACCATATGGGGTCAGCTGGATGTCTGAGGCAGTGGGGCTGGACACTGCCAGCTCAGTGTGTCTCCCAAGGGGCTGGAAAGGGTCTGTTCAGTTACTGTCCCATGTTTGTTGTTAGGTCCCAATCCAGCCCCTTCCTTGGCAAGGAGCAAGTCTGAGAAATAGATGTGGCAGCAAGCACCTGCCAGGGAAGCCTCCCAGTCTTGCTTGCACACAGCTCTGCCAAGTTCTTCCCGTGGTGTTGTTTGCCTGGAGCCACTCCTGGTAGCAGGGTTGGGGCTTAGAAAACGCCATGGGCATCTGCTGTAGTGGATGAGCTACTTCTTCCCCCATACATGTCCTGTAAGAGGTTGTCTGGTTTTGGTGTGTAGTCTTGAGATGCCTCCTTTGGCTGACTGAGGGTGGAGCTATTCAAGTTGTATTAGAGCTCACCCTGGGGCCTTCTTTTCCATGCTGGAGACATCTTTTCTCCATGGACCTTGCACATGGCTTGAGGAGATGAAGGCTTTTACTCTGGCTGAGGTAATTCTGGATCATGGACCTCTTCTGTGGCTTTCTTTTCCAGATGCGTTGGTATCCGCCCTCTGAAGCTACCCAGCAAGGATGGAAGTCTCGTCAGTTTTGTTAGTTTGTTAGTAAGTAATTAACTACTCTTGGAGTCAGGTCTTTGTCTTGCTCTTCCTTGGATTCTTGGAGGGAGGAGGGAACGGGAGCTTGGGCTCAGCCCCACAAGGATGTAGTTGGGTTTCCTGGATGGGTGATGGGGGCAGGGGCACCCCCATGCCCTGGGCTGGGGAGGGGCTGTGGGAGACGCTCGGGACACGGGTCCAGCTGGCCCTGCTCACCTTGCTCCTCTCCTGCAGTGTCTCTTCTTGGCCTGTGTTCCTCCTCCCTGCCCTCCGCAGAGGGATGTTCCAGGGACGATGGCTCCGACTCCTCTGGATTTGGTATGTGGCCAGCGGACACTGCGCCTGGCCCCACCACGCTGCCCCCGGGCCTGCCAGCACCCCTTTCCCTGGACTGTGAAGCCATTGTGGCCTCAGCCATGGGCTGTGCCTCTGTCCCTCTCTCCATCCATCCATCCCTCCATCCCTCCCCAAGCCATCCCCAGGACCTCCTCCCTGGCTGAGCTTTGCCATCTGGCTGCACTGAAACCCAGCTGGGGGGAAGGTCCTGGGCTTCCCCGGGCTCGCCCTGCCCCGGGGGCAGCTCGGCCGAAGGAATCGAAAGGCAAAGTGGGTTTTGCATGTTTTCTGGCATGAATTAAAACACTTAACTTGTGTCTGTGTGAGTGTAAGTTTGTTTGTTCTAGCGTTTGTGTAACCGTTAGCAACAGGTCTTGGCCCAGCAGATTGATCCATCAAGGTTTTCCTCTTACTTCGGTGAAGACTTGGCTTTGAGAAATACTAACTGTCCTTGTCTCACCCCTTTTCCCACCTCCACCCTCCCCTCCCCAGGATGACCAGAAAAATTTGAAAAATGCTTTTTTTTTCTTTTTTTCTTCTTTCTTTTTCTTTCCTTCTTTCTTTCTTTTTTTTTTTTTTTTTAAAGTACGATGCACTGGGTTTTTGTTCTCATCCATTCTGCTCGTTTTAAAGTCAGGGTTATTATATTATTTTTTTCCTTCTTCAGACTTCTATATATAGAACAGCTGTAAAATATCTAACCTCTTCTTTTTTTTCCCACATTCTTCTGATTGGAGAGCATCCAGTCTTGCCAAATAATCAGCCATCCTTATGGGAATACCGAACAAAAAAAAAAAGTATGAGTATTTTTGTAACATGTGTAATAAGGAAATATTTATGCATCATAAAGAATTTCTTGTGTGTTTGTGTGCAATTAATTATTATTATTATTAAAGAGAAATTGTAATCCTGTAAGATAAGTTAATGTTTAGTTAAAAGCTTGAAAAAGAAGGATTGTCTTCTGTACCAATGATTCAGTCAGGCATAGTAAACAAGAAATTGTGCAATTTTTGTTTTAGCATCTTATTGCTTGGTATTGAAGTGCTTTAAGTATTATCTGACCATGGCTCTCTCGCTTGTATTAAAAGATTTGAGAATAAGTTGCTCTATAATTGCTGATCCTATGAGAATGTGAAACTGGATAATATATGAAATGCAACAAAAAAAAAAAATACCCAGCGGCTGCTGTGACTTTTTCTGTGATCTTGGGTGTTTTCTTGTGGGAATGGTGTGGGATGCTTCAGCCCCAGCCTGGTCCTGTTTCCCGGGCTGGAAGGATGCAGGCTGGTTTGGAATGCAGCTGAGGACCAGGAGCTGGGCTCTGCTCTACCCTGCTGGGAGAAGGCCAAGTCCTTGCCCGTCTGGGCCGCGCTGGGAGGGGTGGTGGAGGCTGGAGGCCTCTGCGGGGGGAGCCCTGAACTCTTTTGGGGTGTTTCTGTCCTCCCTTCCAGGCCAGCGTCTCCTCCGTGCCAGCAGTGCAGGAGATCTCCATAGAAGGGAAACGCTCTCCATGGCTGGAGCTTCTCCTTGTGCCTGCCCTGCTGCTGCTGGGGTGGGTGCCCGCACCTTTCCGTGCCCTTATCCGCTCCGGCAGCACTGGGAACGGCAGTCCCGGCCCAGGGGCTGCTGTCCCGCTGGGAATCTCCGTGCAGGGCCCGGGGGCTCTCCCTGCCGTGCCCCAGGAGTCCCCATGGCCCGGCTCGCTGACCCCTGCCTGGGGCACTCCGGAGCCCTCCCACGCAGCGACCCGCCCTGGGGATCAGTGTTTTCCCTCTCCGCAGGGCTTCCAGGGCAGCGCTGAGCGAAAGCAAGGGGAAAAAAAATTAGTAAAACAAAAAGGCAGGTCTAAAAATAGTCCCCCGTGCCTGGGAATGGACCGGAGCGAGCGCTGCTGCTCCGGGAAGTGACTCGCTGTGGGGCTGCGGGCTGCCCGCAGCACTGAGGGGCTGCCAGCCCCTTCCCGTGGGATCCCCCCGCCCGCCGCCCTGGCTCTGCCCTGCATCCCGGATCCCGCTCCAATCCCAGCTCCAGCGCCCTGGCTCTGCCCTGCATCCCGGATCCCGCTCCAATCCCAGCTCCAGCGCCCTGGCTCTTCCCTGCCGGCTCTGTCCGCATCTCGCAGCTCTGCTCACCTGAGCGGAAACACTCCGGAGAGCAGCGGGCCATGGTGCCGGGAGTGTACAAGGCTTTAAATTATAGAGCAGAGACTTTTTCCTGGTTTTTTTTTTTTTTTTTTTAAATCCTTTAGCACATGCATTAACATGGCCAGGCCATGAATAATTTACGCCCGGCTCTACTAAGCTTTTACACTGGGACCCGCTCGCCTCGGAGCTTAAGTAGGTCACGTCTGTTCCGAGGGTCCCCGGGCGTCCCCTCCCCAGCTCGGCCACGTGTGCACTGCCCCGGCTGCTCCCCATGGGGTCCTACTCAAAGGGACGCTCTGGGAGGTGATCTGGGGACACGGAATGTCCCCAAAATATACCCATCACCAGCCAGAGTGAAGCTCTAGGTGCAGAGAAGCTCTGGGTGGGGCAGGAGCTGTTGGCGTCACCAGGGAAAGGGTGCAGGTCCATGGCACCTTTGGTTCTGGGCTGTCTGGGCATGTTGGCCAATGGCCAAGGGACAAATAGAAAAGATGACACTGAGGGTGGAAAAAGTATTGGGGGGAAAAAGGCTGCTTTTGTCATGCTTTTGTTTTCCACTTTACTGGAAACTCCTCCTCTTTTCCTTGTTTTGAAGGTGGGACAAAAGATAAATCTCGGAGCTTTTGGACTCTTTTCTCCTGAACATGCTGTGCACTGCCACGGTGTGTGGTCTGGGCACTGAGGCAAGGAGCACTTTGGGAATAGAAAACCCAGCTGTTGTGATGCTAAAGAGCCTCTCGGCATGGCTGTGCTGGATAAGCTGCTCCCACTGGAGGTGATTAGACACACTCACAGCCAGCCAGGGGCGCCAGATCCAAAACTGCCCCTGTGCAACCAGACAGGTAGGAAGAGGTTCAGATCATCTCACATGAGCATTCATCCAGTGATGAATCACAGGTCACAGGAGCTTCTGTCTTGGGGTCAGTGGCATCCCACAGGGCTGGTGCTCCCACGTCCCACACACCTTTGCTGATGGTTAAGGGTCCCCATGCAGCTCTTGCAGGTGACAATCAGTGCCTTTCACCCATTTCTCCAGGAGATGCGATGAACAACGATGGTAAAGGATCAAACCCCAGCAATTCCCATCTACTGGTCTGTGCCAGCACTGCTGCCACTGTCTCCTTTCCTGTCCATTCTCAGGCCGAAGCCTGTCATGGCTAGAGATCACCTTGAACATCATTGCTGACCTGCCTGCTTATCCACCAGGCAGAGAACAATGGCCACAGCTGTGAGGAAATGTCTCTGAGAGCCCCAGCTCCATCCTGCAGCAGGGTTTAGCAGCTACTGCTCCCTGCTGATTTCTACGAATCGAAGAATCGCTGAATTTTTAAAGCTGGAATGGTCCTCTAATTCCATGGAGTGCATCCATTCCCCAGCACTGCCAGGTCCAACACTAAACAACCATTCCCAAGCACCACGTCTTTGAACAGTTCTAGGGATGGTGACTCCACTACTGCCCTGGGCAGCCCCTTACAATACCCCATCACCAACACTCAACCTGAACCTCCCCTGGAACAACTTGGGCCCGTTTCCTCTCATCCTGTCCCTCGCTCCCTGGAAACAGAACCCAGCTTCCCCACCTGGCTGCCCTTTCCTGTGAGGGAGTTGTGGAGAACCAGAAGGTCCCCCCGAGCCTCCTTTTCTTCAGGCTGAAGCCTCCCAGCTCCCTCAGCTCCCCCTGGTGCTCCGGCCCCTTCCCCAGCTCCATCCCCTTCCCTGGGCATGCTCCAGCCCCTCAATGTCATGTGTTCAAAACTGAACACAGGATCTGAGCTGTGCCAAGAGGCTGCATCTCATGCAGTTGTGCTGGGATTCCCCAGGCAAGTACATGTTGTCCAGCCCCGTGAGGGTGAGGAGCAGGTCTCCTGTGGTCCTATGGTCCTCACCTCACATGTCTGTGGGGCCCCAGCCCATGGCACGTGGCCAGATAAAATGACTGGCCAAGATGTAAAAGGATGGATGATCTTGTTAGCACCTCTGGAAGAGGCAGGTTGGTACAATCAAGCTCAGCCAGGCCTGAAATATCACCAGGAGGGCAGGAGGAGGTAGGGAATGATGGACACCAAGCAAGGAGGAGACAACGTTCTGGCTGCCTCATGATTCTTTATTGCACAGTGACCCCTCTCAGGAGTTTTGCTTGGATATCATCACACTCCCACAGCTCCATAAATACCTCTGCTCTCCCCTGCCAAACATCTACTTGTCGAATTATCCCCCAACCCAGCAACAAGTCTGTAGAGACTTGGAATTGGCATCCTAATCCTCTGTGGAAAGACACAGGTGACAAACAATGGATGCCACAGGGATCATGTAACAAAATACACCCCAAAAAAGAACTGTTAGGGAAAGGTGAGGGGGGACAGGTCACACCCAAAAGGTGATGCATGACATCCCAGAGAGTCTCACCTGGGACTCAAGGTGTTGCTGCCATGGGATCCTGAGGGTTATTAAGGAGGTAACTCCATCGCGATTCAAAAAATACTTGGTCTCGGCTCAGTTCCAGGAACAAAAGCTGCTCTGAGCCAGTCAGGCTTTAACGGCGTTGTTATTTGGGATAGTGTAATGAGAAGTGCACTCCTGGTCTGTGCTGTTAACACATGTGGAGTTTAGCAGGAGAGCCAGGAGGTGGCAGCCGAGACCTGAGCACGGGAGGCTGTAACATCCCTCCAGCAGCTCGGGACCCTGGGGAACCATGCACGCATTCTGTCATGCGCCTTCTCCTCCATGGCATCGGGAGAGCTGAGTTACTTTAAGCAGCTCTATATTAAGTTAATAGAGGAAAATATTTAAATATTTTAATTTTAAATTCTGGCCAGCTACAGCGTTGTTATCAAAAATACACTGAATTTCAGCTGGAACGGGACGGGATGGGGGGCGTTGCTTCATAGTCAAAGCGGGCTGAAGTGGGACTATCACCACTCCAGCCGGTCCTGGCTTGTTCCAGCTGAGCCTGGGAATCCCCTGAGGCTGGAGCTGTCCCTCTTCTGGCGGCCTCTCCCATGCATATCTCCTGCTATTACTCACTGAACTCAAAAAGAAGTGCGATGCCTTCTGTGATGACACAGCCATGACACAGCCATGACACACTCGGCTCTCTGTCACACGGGCCGTGGGAGCCACCCCCGCGGGGCACCGGGCAACCTGTGCATCCCCCTTGGCGAGTGAGCCTGAGACGGGCAGGGGCAGCACGGTCACCCCTCGGTGTGCTGGGACACAGGGCAGGTGGCACTGGGACACACGGCAGGTGGCACTGGGACACCAGCACGCCACCAGCTGCCATGCCTGCAGGGGGAAGAGGCCGCTGTTGCACCTGCAGGTCTCAGCCCAGCGCAAGCAGGGCACCGAGAAGAGCCAGCTGCAGCAACCCCTGGGACAGGGGAACATCAGCTCCTGAGAAAAACCTGGAAGGATCTCCAAATATGTCCAAATGTCCTGCTCTCTTGGTTTGGGGTGCTCAGATCAGGAGAAATGCCAGCTTATCTCCTGGGATGCAGATGGGTTGGAGTCTTTAGAGTGTCCTGCCACGGGAACCCAGAGCTCTGCCATTCCTCCTATTTCCCACGCTCCCCAGGCATGGCAGAGCATGCCTCATCTCCTGGCCTTCATCCACTGGGCTTCTTCAGGTGGGATTCACCTGGTGGGGGCTTCATCCATTGGGCATCACCCCTGTCCTTTGTCCATTTGGCTTCACCTGCTGGGCTTAACTGTGGCTGACACATTCCTTTTATGATCCTCTGGGTGCCAGGAGTGAGTCTGAGCTCCCGAATGCTTCCTGGGTTCCAAGTCTCCGTGCTGCTTTCCCAGGACAGGAGTCCCAGCAGGCAGAGTGGCAGCTTGTGCCAGTGAGTCAAAGGCAGTGGGACAGATGGTTAAAGGCAATTGCTGCCAGAAGCAGCAGTTCCTGCCCGTCACAGCAGGCTGGGCCCACCACGGACGCATTTCCATCACCTCTCTCA